TTGGGAATAGGGTGGAAGAAAATGCACAGAGATTGACCCTATGCCCATATAAATAGTGTATCTGTGAAAATCATTTCTGGGAAGAGAGTAATATCCTAAATAAACAGATAAGATGTACCCTAAAAAGACAAGAGGGACCTCTAGCTCTAAGTCTTTGTTCACAAGTATGATGGGAAGCAGCTGATTGTGCTGAGTGTTTGGTGGAAATCTATGGGGAGTTTTAAAAAAGACCATTAATCAATGAGCTCTTTTGCTGGATTTCTCCTAATACAATCTCTGTGTGCATGTTCCCTTTTTCCTTTAAAGTTTCAGACTGATTTCAGATGTTTCAAAGACAGGCTGAAGTTTCAATAGGATATATTTTTCTCCAGTGTACAAGATGTCAATTGGACAGCTGGGTGTACTTTAGGGAATACTTCATGCTACCCCTCACAGCTGAGTCTACTGCCTAATGCTCCTTTGGTGCCACTCCCTTTCTTTGCACCTGTTAATCTTCTAAACTTTCAGATCACTCTATGATTTCCATGCAACTTTGTTACCCCATAAAAATGGCTCAATTCATTAATATGAATTATTTCCATCAAGAAGTAATAGAAATAAAATCCACTAGATATGCAGGTCCTTACACCACCCCTTCTAGATTCAGAATCATAGCCATAAAGTCAAACTTAGAGGTATGATTCTTACAAGATTCACCCCTTTGCAGGAGAAGGATGGGCCGTAAAGGCATTGCAATGTTCAGTAGCTCCCCAGATCTGTGGGTCAGCTCATGCTGTGAGTTAGAGCAGCCTGACTTCACCTCCAGATTTATCCCATGGTGTGACTCCAAATAGGTTCTGGCTGGGAGCACCAAGAGCTGTGGGAGCTGGTCGCTTTGCCACATTTGCAGATAGACTTGACAGAGGTGGACTTTTCTCCCCTGACAGTTGCAGACGTAGGTTGTTCTCTACCAGCAGGCACAGCAAGAGAGCAACTCCTCATGATATGTCCCTGTACCCCACTGTAGACTTCTCTCCTGCTGCTCCACTATAGTAAGGGGGCTGGGAGAAGGAGGAGGTGCAAATGCTCCTTCTCCATTCAGAAATGGTATAAATGGCTCCTCAGGATTCAGTGAAAATAGCCAGTGGACTGCTGAAATGTCCGATAAGTCAGCATCTCTCCCGGTCTGGTACCAAAGAGCCATAGACCATGCTGAACCATGATTCAGAGCTGAGGTGTGCACAACCTTGAAACACAGAAGTGTGAGCAGGGAGATGAATCACAGCGTTCGAGAAATTTTTAAAAGCTCTGAGCTTTTAAAATTAGATAGATCAACACATTAGAAAAGCATGTCCTTGGTCAAAGACGGTCTGCCAGTGATGTCTCCATGCAGTGATATTCTCCTAGAGGATGAAGAGTTGTCTTCATTTTTGACAGGTGATGCCTGAGACCCATAAAAATAGTTGAAGCTGGAGCAAAGCTTTCCTCCTGAAACTTGGAACTAAGTGAAACTGCCTACTTCAAGAGGTCTAATAAAAATCTGCAGTTCAGGCCAGTGGTGCTGATATTTGCAAGCTGGGACCAAGTTTAGTGCAAATGCAGGAAATTTGCAGAAACAGGTGGAAACCAGGCAGGGTTTGGTAATGCCACATCGTGATGCTGCTGCAGAACACAGTAATTTGACATTGGAGATGTAAATTGCAGAAATTTATTGTAGTTCTGAGGGAGCCGAATACATCTGAATCAAAACCAGGGCAGGATACCACAGAATACACAGAAACAAATGCATCTATTTCCATGCTGATCTGGTTGAAACCAAGAGTTACAAAGTTGTTTCCAAGCCTCAAGGCCAATATTTTTCTCTTCCTTATAGCAACCTGCTCTTTATATTAAATGATGCTTGTGGACATCCTTCATAAAGTATTATGGAAATTCCAGAGAGCTAGAGGTGAACAAATGTTCCATTATTTTCAAAGCCTGAAGGAGACGACCTGTTTTCCTTGGCCTTCCCAGGTAAATATAGGCCAGTAAACCTGACCTCAGTTCTCAGACAGCTGCAAAAAAATCTAAGGTGCAACGTAGTCAATGTCTAGGTAAGGACAAGGTGATATAAATGACACCACTCGGTAGAGATTTATGAAAAATAGTTGTCATTCTTGTCCTGAAATGCTTACTTTTCTTTTTTCAGGTGAGTTGCTCTGGCTTGTGAGTTTCTACTGGTACATTTGTTATATATTTGTCATATATCTGGACAAAAAGTGTTTTACAATGGCACTATACAAAATGAATGTAGAACATCTTAAATGTGTAAAAAGATATTTTATCAAGGTTCTTCAGTGATTTATTCTTGCCCCCAGGCTATTAATTATTGTTGTCAAGAATTTGAAAGAAAAATAAACAAAGAAAATAGCTGTTGGAAAAGTTGTAGATACTGCTGGAGTAGTAGATAAACGAGACGGGTCAAGCCTGCAAGGCAAACTGTAACAATTGGTAAACTAGACTGCTCTGAAGAGATGAAGAAGAACGTCTTTTTAAACAGCATGATGCAAGGTCATGCAGCTGAGACCAAGGAGCAGAGATGACAGTTCACATCCTGCAAGCAGCAGCTGTGGCAGCCTTGGCCCCAGCATAGACAGCATGCTCCATCAGGACATACACACAGGCAGATTTAAGCTGATCTCAGTTGTTTTAAGATCTGTTTGTGTTAAATTTATGTAATCAGTCCAGTACAGTTAGCCGGGCTGTTAGCTCAGCCGCTGTGTAGACTTCAGTGCAAATTCACCTGCTTGGGGTATTTGTCTCCATTTCCACAGTAGTTGGAGGTAAGTAGAAAGCACCGGACTCTGAACTTGAAACTTATCTGGTGCTTTTCCCTCTGCAGGACCATATCATCCCCAGTGGCAATGCTGCAGTTGTGGGCACCAAGCCCCTGGATGGGGTGCAGCTTTAGGACAGCTCAGTCAATGGTGCCGAAAGAGACAAGGTCATTCTTCATCTTTTGGTTCCTCTTGGATTTTCTTTGCCAGGTTGTGATTCTAGAGGCTCTCTTGGAAGGCTGCACATCTCTATGGGCTAACTGCTCTTCCCTTTCTTTTTAACTTGCAATTGCCCAGGAGAACTGTGCTCTCCTTTCCTACCCACTGCCCTAGCACAAGAAATGGCTTTTTTACTTTTTCTTTTTTTTTTTTAATCAGAATGTCTCAAGGTGGTAGTTATTTCAAGCAAGTGTATTTGGCTCTCTAATGAAGTATGACTGAGAGAGCTGTCCCTGTACGGGTTTGGTTTGTTCTTCTTTCACTGTCTTCCAAACTGCTTTGCCCTACAACTCTTGTGCTGCAAAGGCAGGAAGGCTCCTGGATTTCCTGTCCTTGCCCAACGAACAACACTTAGCGTCCAGCTAGGAGCCTTGATCAGGATGAAAACAATATTGAATTTTGCAGGTCTCATTTATTTAGAAGAGTAAAATGTCTTTCTTTTCAAAGTGCTTCTATTTAGCTTTCATTTCCTGTGCACAGAGTAGCTTTGTCTTGAGTACAATAATTAAGTTGTTGACCTTCCTTAGAGGTCAAACATAGCTTCCCTTTGGAGAAAGATAAAAACAAGCAATAATAGATACTTTGACTGGTCCAGGATACTTGCCCTGCGTATCTGTAATGCTGCTGTTATTTCTGATGGATATTTTTCCCAAGCTTGTTCAGGACAAGTTGCCAATGAGCCATTTATTTTGTAGGCACAGCATGTTTTATTCCAGTTATCTTTTCCCTGTATTTTAGAAGAAAAAAATATAGTCCATTGTCTTGCAGTGAGAGGATGATCTGGGATTCGTAAGCTCTAATGTTTCATGTGATTATTAACATGACATTTTAATGGTTTTAATGATTCATTTTTGGTTTTCTCTAATTTTCTGCTGCAGACTTTTTCTTTTTTCAAGATCAAAGATGATAATGGGGAAGTCCAGACAGGTCTGTGTTTGTTGTACAAGCCAAATTACAATTCTTTTTACAGTGCCATGTCTTTTTTGTGTGGAAACATATTTAAATTCTTTTCATTTTAAAATTATTTGGTATTTATTTTTGATTTTTTATTACTTGTTTACTTGTTTTTAAATGACTGCTAATTATTATTAGTGGTGCTAATGATGCTCTGCATAACACGATGTTGTGTCGGCCTTTCAGCTCCCAGGAGTTGTGCTTGTACGAGTTAGTTAAGCAAGGCACGTGGATTATCAGATTAGTCTCAATAAGTTTTAGCAGCGAGCTCGACTTCTTTTATATACAAGTTTGAGGTCTTGCCCTTGGGAAGGAAGTTGTGGGGGAGGAAAAAAAAACACATTATCCTTTGCAAAATGGGCAAGAACTAGAAATGCACAGGTGGACAAAATCCATTAACTTCAGTGATCTGGGACTTTATTGCTGTTAAGAGCAAATGGCTATAGATGCCGGGCTCTGCAGCCTGAGGGATGAGGAAAAGTCCTCCCAGGTCAGCAAGCCGAGGCACTCTGCTTCAGCACTGCAGTAGGCTAGGCCAAGCTTATAACTGTGATTTATTAAACTTGTGTTCTGAGCCTTGTGCTCTATACACCCATCTCATTCTTTCCGGAAACCTCCTCCAGGCCTTTACAGTTCTTTCTTCTGATGCAGACAGTAAAATTAATTCTGGAAGTGCAAGTATGGCCATAAAAAATTACCAAACATACACGTCTTGGAAGCGATGAAGCTAAGTTGCTAACTAGTAACTACATCGCGGCCAAGGCGAAGCACTCGCTCCATCGCTTGCAAAGGGAAAGCAGCTCCGGTGCAGCCCTTCCTGGCTTTTAAAGTGGGAGCAGCCCCCACGTCATTTACCAAAGCTTTTGAATTCATGCTACTGACCCATCAGGGTGAATTAAAGCTAAACATGCTATAATGAAGACATGGAGGGCTAAGCGGAAAAAATCAGGAGCAAGCAAAGCATCTTCTCCTCTGCTGAAGAGCAAAAGAGAAACCCTGGCATCTAATTTTGGATTATTGGGAAATGCTTCGATGGTGACGTGGTCGGTGCTGCGCGCGAGCTTAGCGCAGGCCGGGCCTTCCGCACTGCTCCCGCGCCGCGGCTCATGTGGGCACCCCGCAAAGCCTCCAAGAGGCTACGGCCGCACTCCGAGCCCGGTGCCGGTAGGTAGATGTGGTCCAGCGAGAGCGAAAAGCAGCTCTGGTTTTAATAAAGATTAAGAAATATTTTCAAATGACCCTCCTTGTTCCTTACTATTATATGGTATTAAAATATAAGAGAGCAGCCAAGGAGAATAGAAAACAAAGAGAAAAGCTTTTAAAAAAATTCCACAATTTTATATCCTCTCCCTACTCACCCACCACAGAATTAGAGGGTGGGGGATTCGAGGGCTGAAGGAATCTTCAAATGGTGCCAAAAATGCTCCACAGATCTCTCTGGTCCCTCCAAGTTTGGCTATTTAAAGCAAACACATTGTGTTTGAGATGCTAGTTTAGATCCGTTTTCCATATGAGGAGGTGGGATGCAATTAATTAGCTGTTCTTTTGATTTTGGAGTATCATATGTACACTTCACAAGGGCATGTACTTCTGACAAATGCTGGAAACAGGGAATAAAATACAAGCTGTGTCCCTTCAGTTTTCTGGGTGCAAATGATGGATCAGTAGGGGATTGCTGTGTGTTTTATCACTGCCAAGGATGACTGAGTCACATGAGTGTTAATGCAAACCCAGAAAAAGAAAATATCTGCATAAAATTGCAGTAACAGGGTTCTAAATGATTATTTTAGTCAAATTTGCACTGCTTTTATATAACATCTCTAATCTGTAGGTAAAAAAGAGGCAAAGCCAGTAGGCCATGTGAGATGTAACCAAAGATAAACTTTTGTTTAGAATTTAAGAAAAAAAAAATCAAATCTTCAGTTAGAGAGATGGACATATACAGCAGGGAGGTGAAAGCCAGCATCCAGCATGCCAAAAAATACAGCTCCTTGCCTTGTCAGTCCATGAAGGCTCCTTCCTGGATTTCAGCAGTTACTGCCTTTATGTGCAGAGGAGATGCAACTTAACAAAACAATTGTCTAAGTCAGAGAAAAGCCTTTAAACCTCACACCCTGCCCAGCAAAAATGCCAGATGGGGAGGCAGGGCCGCCACGGCCGGATCCAGCTGTCCCAGGCACTCCTGGGCTCCAGGGCAGGGATGCTGAGGCCCTGGAGACCCCTCGGTGGGGCCCTGCCAGGACAGGAGCTGAATTCAGGGTCATGGTTGCCATTTGGTGCCTATAACAGCTTAACAAAATAACTCCCCTCTGAAAATAATCTTTCTTGCAGAAGCAACAGCCTGCGCAGCGTCTCCTCTGGTGCTAGGAGGGGACCAAGAGCTGCAGCAGGCCCTGTGCCCACATGGCTCATCCTAAGACCTCTTGGGCTAGGAGAGACCAGCATGAGCAAACCCTCTTTAGTTCCTCTTTTTGATTTTCTTTTATGTCTCTCCAGTGCTAAGGAACACCTTGTAGCCAAAATGACAGACATGGTTTCAGCTGTAGATGCCCTCTCTCGTCTTCATCTCTGCCCATGGAAGAGAAGGGATTGGTAGGTACTACCTCACTGCAAGATCTGCTGATGTAGCTGGGGAAAGGGGATAGTTTTCTGTTGTGCAACTCCTTTTTTAGAGGTGCACTGGGCTAGCCATGGCCCACGGGACATCTCCTGTCAGGCTATCATCTCCCATGCTGTCTGGGGAACTACACATGTTACTGCAAAAGCCAGTGGCATTTAAAAGACAAATCTTTAAAAAAACAGAGCTATAAAATTCTTAACGTGGTTATTAACTTAAAATGAATTGTTTAAGTTCAGAGGGTTTTTTCCCCCCGTTAACTTCTTCTTGAGGGGGATGTATTTACGGAGCCATGTGCTTCTCACATGGTTGGATCTAAAAATAACTTCAGAAACTCATTCCAGCTTAAACTTAATTTAAAATCCAGTTTGCCAGCCTAACACAGACCATAACTGGTTTCTCAGACTGGTTTTTGTATTTGTAATGATAGCCTTGATCAGTCTTGGGAGTGCTGATTATTTCTGGATTTCCTGTACTCTACTTCCATTTAATAATAACAAAAAACATACATTCCTATGCCTAAGAACCCCCAAATTACACACAAAATACATTTTCTCTGTATGGCCTGCACTGCTTCTTGGTTAAAAGGCTAACTTTCTTTCTCTTATGCATGCACGTGCACGTCACGGAGACTTGCAGAATGAGCCCAACTTTCCTGGTCTTTTCAGAGAGGTTGGGTGTATATTATCTAAGTACTCAACTATTTTTCCCAGGGTCTTCCTGTCAGTGATGACCAGCATGAGATGTCTCAAAAGCTCTGAACCCTCATGGGTCAAATCCTTCTTCTATTTAATTCAATATGAGTTTTGTCACTGATTTTAAAGAAGCCAAGGCTGTAGCCCATAATGGACAATTATGCAATCCCTGGATGAAAGGGATGTTTTCTCTTTGCCCTAGATAATTAAGTCCAATGAAGAATCTTACCATTCCCATCAGTAGCTTTTTTTTTTTTAATTGGTCTTGAGATGACTATGTCCTGAGCTCCGACAGCTGAAATCCTTTACAAAGGAGATTTTCAACCAGTAGCCTGTCAATCTTTGGGAATCTGCAACAGGCAGTTAAGAAAAACAAATATATCACCAGAAGATTCAGGAACTGCATAGTGATCCATACATCAACTGAAAAAAAAGGTATCGGCCCTCATTAAAAAAAAACAAAACACTGTTTTAGCTCATACTACCCTGTCTTTGTAAGAGATTTTGGTCTCATAAAAACACCTAAATTTGTGGAGAAGTT